CCGCAGCGGCGGGCGCGGGTCCATGCGGCGGGCGCGGAGTTATAGTGACGGCGCCCCTCCGGGCACTGACTCACCCCCCCGACGGGGGCCCCCCCGCCCGGTGACGTCAGTGGGGCGCCGGAGCCAATCAGCACGGGCGCGGGGCCCGGCGCCGCATAGTAATTGCATTCCACCCATTCATAAAAATCCCCGGCGGCAGGTGCCCCCTGCCCTGCCCTTGCAAAGCCCTTTGCCGGCTCCCCGGCGTGGGGGGCATGAGGTGCAAGGTGGCAACCCCCCCGCAGGGTCTCAGCCCCCACTGCCCCCCCGGTGCATGGGGGCACCAGGGAAGGTGCAAGGCTGATGCCCAGCGGGGCAGGAGGAGGGGACGCCTACGAGCCGTGTGCGGCCCCCGTGGCCCCCTGGCACAGCGCCCTGGCTCTGGTCGCGCTCGACACGGGGGCCGAGCTGAAGCCGAGGCCTATATGAGACCCCAGCGCCTGGGCCTGCCCCTCCTGCGCCCAGCACCGACGTGCCCGAGACCCAGCGCCCCGGGCACGCGTGCGCCCGTCTCCCAAGGCTCGAGCAACAGAAATGGAGGTGGGTTGTTTTTCCTGTGGAGGTTGAAGCTTGCACGGGCAGACAATCTCTCTGTGCAAGGCGTCCGCCTGTCATTAGACCCCAGCCCGGGAGCGGGCCCCGGCAGGGACCCCCCGGCACCCGGGGACGGAGGCTTGGGTTGCAGTCGGGTGAATAACGGGTGCCCGCGTCTCTCCGTGGCACGCAGGGTGCACGCGCGAGAGGCGGCCCCCACGAGCTGGGCTCAGCGCGCAGCAGGGCCGCGGAGCGAGGAGCTGTGGGCAGTGCTGAGGCACTGTCCCGGAGGGTGCTGGGGACAGGAGCTCCAGGCCCAGGCAGGCCTGGGGCTGGGGCTCTCGCTCTGAGTTCAGGCTTCGGCTGCTCCCTTTCGCGTTTCCTGACCCCCTTTTCCTGTCTACCGATTGCCCTCCAGCGCCCGGGCCGTCCTGCCCAGCCAGAGCGCGGCGAGCGGAGGCCACGCCGCGCGTGCAGGTAGCGCGAGGCCGTCGGCCCCCTCGGTGCTGTCTGTGCAGGCCCGGGTGGCTGCCGGGTGTTGGCAAGGGGCTGGCGAAGGCGCCGCGCTGGGCAGCGCCAGCATAGGAGCATAGACAACACGCGTGCACTTGACTAGAGACGAGAGGAGCTGGGCGCCGTGCGTCGGGCGCGATGCGCAGGTGGGGAGAATTAGCCGGGCTCCCCGCCACCCCCACGGGCCCGGGCCAGGGGCCTGCATCCTCCGCTGGAGCCTGGGAAGGGCCCCGGGGTGGAGTGAGCGGCCGAATGAGTAGGAAGACGAGCACCGCAGCGCGTGCACGAGGGGAGAGGGAAGCCAGGCAGCCGGATCCAGGCACGCACACATCCAGGCCGCCTGGCTTCTCGCGCACGCACACACTAAGCAGCAGAGCCGTGCTGTGAATCAACGCGTGTGGGATGTGGCGGAGCGGTGACTCACTGCTGCAGAGGCAACCGGTCCTGATGTTCTGGAGGGAGCCAGGCATCTTCCCCAGGGCTCGGGCATCGCAGCCCCTGCCCCCTTCCCGAGACGCTCCGTGGGCAGATCAGACCGGCCCTTTGCTCCCGGGAGATGGGCTCGGTGGCTGCTCTTCCCGCCTCCGTTGCAAAGCCTTGACTGTGGCGTCAGTGCGAATGGCAGGGATGCAGCTCCTGCCTCTGGCGAGAGGGGAAGATGCTGCCAGCCGGGGAAATCGAGACCTGCTTCAGTTACCATCAAGGGAACTTTTGGCTACCGGATCGATGGGGATGAGAGGTTGCTCACACTCGCATCTTGCCAAGCGGCTGCGGTGTTTGGGAAAACATTTAATGGCTGTCAGCTTCCAGACATCCGGAAGTCTTCCCCGGGTGGGAAGACATTTCTCCCGCAGCTTTGTTAGTGCAGCACATGGGCCTTCCCCGTGGTAGCACCTGCCACGGCTGGAGGCAGCCTGGGGCATCAGATGGGTCCCATACCTTTTTGGTGGGGGGGAACAAGCATATTGTACGTGAGAAAATACAGTACCTTATTTACTCATGTACCTTGCTCACCTCTCCCCTAAAACTAGCTACTGAAAACTGGGGGTGTGACGTAACCCAGGAAACGGCGTCTCAGCGGTTGGGTGACAAGGACCGTTTCTTTCCGTTCCTCACGCTGCCTTCCCAGGGGTGCGTGCCTTCTTGTGGGGGGCGCGGCCTGTGAATAAACACGGTATTGGCCACTGCCGTCCTTGCCGAAAGCGCTGCAGGGATCCCGGCTGGGGGGGAATGGCTCAGGGTGGGGCCGGGGTTCTCACTGCTGTCCCTGCACGTCCTGTCGCGCATGGGCCCCAGCCCCCCAGCGCCTTTCTCGGTGGGTCATGGAGCCCACAGCTCTGCTTTCCTCCAGGCCTCGCGCTGGAGGATCGCCAGTGTGTCATTGCCATCTTTGTGGGCTCCCACGCGAAGTGGGGAGACCGGCGGCTGGGAGCTGCCCGGATGGAGGGGTGGGTGGGCGCGTGGCGCAGAGCGGGGTGGGGAATGGTGGCATGACGGACGATGGTGCCTTGAAGGGAGAGCACTAGCACGGTTTCCCACCGGGATCTCGGGGCCTTGACAAACCTCACCCAGAAGCAGCCGCATCATCAGGGCAGTCTGCCGGCCCAGCAGCCGTGCGCAGCTCCTCGTGCCGCGCGGCCCTGGTTTCCCCTGCGCCACCGCCTCGCTGGCTCTGCAGGTCTCCTGGCCGCCCCTCCGCCGGGCAGGGCTGTGCTGCTGCCCTACACCAGGCCGGCAGGGATCCTGGGCCCCCTACGAGGCAAAGTGACTTGCCCAAGGTGGTGGGGGAGATCAGTAGCAGAGCAGGGAACTGAACTGGGATCTCTGCCCTGTGAGCCCCTGCCTCTGCTGCTGCCGGATGCGATCGGCCCCGGTGAGCTGGTAGCCTGGGACCCGCCGGCCTGCTGCGAGCTGACACTGCTGCTTGCCTTACTAGGAGCACAAGCAGGTGGCGGGGATATTTTAGCAGTACTGCAGCTTGCTGGGGCTCTCTCTGCCCCCCAGGAGCTTCCCAGGGCAGAGCTGCCGGGGCCAGTACCCGTGGCTGGTGGCGATGCCTTAAATGCCGGCTTGTGGTTAAAGGGGAACGGCCCCTCCTCGTACAGCGGGTGGGCTCCCTCCTGCCAGGCAGGAGAGTGGCAACGGCACGCCTGGGTCGCTCCCACCCCGCCCAGTCACCCAGTTCAAGGCGTGGCATTGGTGTCGGTGGGCCCCGGCAGAGACCCAGCAAACTCGCTGCAAGCCAAGGGGTCGCAGGTGGGAGCAGCCCGTGGGCGCTGAGTGCCGCGGACTCCCCTAGCCTCTCCCCCCGGGCTTCCCAAGGCGCCGACCCCACCGCTGGCCACGTGAGCCAGGAGCAGGCCCATAATGACTATTGCTCTGAGCGGAGGGACCCGGAGAAGGGGTCTGCGCCCTGGCAGCAGCAAGCGCCGGGGCGGTCCTGGTCGATGTGGGAGACGCGGCGGGGGCTGGAGCCGGGGGGAGGCTGACGGGGCCGGGGGCCCTTGTCAGAGGAGGAAGGGCCCCTCGCCTCTCCCCCTTTTGCAGCGCAGCCGCCGGGCTCTTCTCACCCCGTGGGCTCGGCGCCGGCTGGGCAGGGCCCCCGCCTCTCCCAGGACCTGGCCCCCTCCTGCAAGCCACCGAGAGTTAACTTCCCAGCAAAGCCACTGCTGCAGCTCACGCCTGGCTGAGCCGGCGCTGAACACCCACGTGCAGATGCTCTCCCCCCCTCCGCGCCGAGGCCGGAGGAGCTGATTAGCCTGGTAATTTCCACGGTCCATAAATAGGAGGGTTAAAAAAAACCAATAAAGGGGGCTGCACTAGGATTGCAGGCCCCTGGCGGGGGCAGGCAGGCAGGGCCCCGCTGTGTGCAGAGCCCCCAGCACGC